TGCCGCCGCCGCTGCTCGGGCTACGTGGGCTCCGGGGGCGCGGGCGAGCGCGCTGCGGGCAGGAGCTGCGGCGGCTTGGGTGCTGCCGCCTGGCTTCTCCGCGGGGGCCGGTGCAGAGCAGACACGCAAGGAGGGAGGGAGGGAAAGAGGGAGGAGAGGAGGAGAAGGAGGGGGGAGGGTCAGCGGGGCTACTGCGTGGAAGAGCAGAGAGCCGGCTTCCCAAAAGGTGGGGTCACCCGCGCGCGCCCACGCTGGCCCGAACCTTTACTCCCGAGACAAGCTATCGGGAGATAGCCGCAGGCTGCACTTTATACCCCATACGCTCCAGAGTGAGGCAACTTAAGTAGGGAGATAACATCGTGGTTGTAAAGCATTTTTTTTTTATGTTGTTGTTATTTCTATTTCAAGTGTGTGGGACGAGGGGAGAGGAAAGTTCAGGGACGTGTTCATCTTTTCCTTCCCCTCCCTCTCCCCCCACCCCTCCAGTCTGTTTTCCCTGCAAGCTCTCTCCCACCTCGCCTTCCCTCCCAGAGCGCAAACAGGGGCACACATCCTGGACGTGTTCTCCTCGGTCACACCAATGCCCTTCTAGAAGACATGTGACCCCGGAGGAGCTAGGAGACGCGCTCTTCCCGGACTCTGGAGCCATAACTTTCATCTAGTTTGCCAATTCACATGATGCCGGGGCAGTGGTTTGAACCGGGTTTTAAGGGACAGAGATTATACCTTCGGAATCTGTAGGTCCTTGAGCAGGGAGCTTTCTTGATCACCCAAGCTGGTGTTGCTCTCCCAGTCGCCTTTTGATTACATGGGTTTTTTTTTTACCCCCCTGAGGCTTGCATTATGGTTTTCTAAATATATATACCCCCACCGCATTATTTGCTGTGCTCTGGAGTTGTGAGACCTTCCTGTGGCTTTCCCCCTTTCCTCCTGCCCCCAGAGGAATTTCACTGGCAAGTCCACCAAGGACAAGGGCAGTTTGTGTGTTGAGGAATGGGAAGTACAGTGAGGTTTTATTCTTCCCGGTGCCTCTAGAGAATGTCGGAACCCAAGTCTCAGGGGTTTTAAACCACATGGTGGCAGTGGGACTCATGTAACACTGGTCTGCACTAGTACATACATAAACTCATATAGAAATGAGGCCCATGGAAGATATGTTGAATGGGGCCATTACATTTCAGAGGAGAAAGAATGTAGTCCTGTTTGTTTTTGTGTTAACTGAAAAAAAAAAATAAGCAAAAGTACAAAATACTTTTTCATGAACATATGCTAGAGTCTTTCCATTTTATGCAGGCCCTCAAAATAGCCCAACTAGAGGAGATGGTCTGGGGAAGAATTCCACAGGGAAAGGAAAAATAATTAAGTCATTGTTAAGTCACTGTAATCATGGACTTCTAAGTCAATAGAATGGATTTTTATGAACAGTGTAACAACAACAAGAAGGAAATCAGATTTTCAAAGTCCTTTCATTCATTTAGTCCATGGTGCGGGGGGGTGGATAGTGGATTGCTAATTAATGGGTCCACATTTTTAATGAAATAGAATAAAAATATCAGAGTACATCATGCATAGTAAGTAAATATGCTCTGTATATCTTTCATTTCAGTTAAATATGTGTATATTGGGTCAACCATGTAATATGTATTTTCTTACTGTTCCTCTAGGCAAAAGCTTGAAAACCACGGATATACTCCTGCCACCTGGGGTCACCCATCCAGTCAGAGTTTGAAGGGGAACGTAAGCTCCTTCCCAGAGATCCTGTCTTCTTGCAACAATACCATGCTGAGCTGTAAAAAAAAAACAAGGAGGATGGTGAGGAGGAGAAGGAGAAAAGTGACCATTCTTTGAGCCTTTATTCATTCTTTTTTTTTTTAAAGATTTTATTTATTTATTTGAGAGAGAGAGAATGAGAGACAGAGAGCATGAGAGGGAGGAGAGTCAGATGGAGAAGCAGACCCCCCGCCGAGCAGGGAGCCCGATGCGGGACTCGATCCTGGGACTCCAGGATCATGACCTGAGCCGAAGGCAG